ATATAGGTGAATTGTCAGTTTATACAGTAATGTTCTCTATACCTTTTCTGGTATTTCCTACCATGTAGCTTTGTTTTTCTGACTGCTGTTGCACGCTGAACTGATGCTTTAACAAAGTTATTCCTCTTAATATTCAGACCTTGCTTCTGAATAGTAATGGCCAATTCAGAGCCTATCATTCTGTACTCAACGTCCAGATACCTGTCTGTGTTACCTAGATTTGCATTTGTCCGTCTGAATTTTACCTGTCATCATAACCAAGTCTTCTAAGGCTCTTGCAAAGCTCTTCTGGTGGCCCTTGTGGCAAGTATCTAAGATATCATTGCCAGCAAACTTTTTTGCTTTCTTGGTCTTCAGGTTGCCATACCAATCTGCAAAACGGTACTGTTCTGCAGAATTCACTGGTGACTTCCCTCCTTCCGCTGTGGGACCCCTATTAGCAAGTCCCTAATCTTTCTTTCCTGTATTCTAATCAGTGGTACGACCATGCAAGACCATTTCCTCTTACCCTGCATTTTTTTAGAGTCCTTAAAACTTTTGGTGAGGAACCTCTTAACAGCTTTTGGAAAGTCGAGTATTCTGCATCGGTGACGTTTCCCATGATCACAGGGGTGTCAGCCTTTTCTGGTAATATAGGAGGGTTTTTTATTAGGTATTAACGGTTGTCCTTCTTGAACAGCTCTTTAAGGACTCCTAGATTGATGATGTAATGAGAAAGAAGGAGGCTGCTGGTTTTTATTCATAACATAATTGTGCAGACTGTTCAATACTTGGTTTCTTCTAGTCTTTAACCAGCTTGAATAGTCTCTGTGACCTCCTTGTATCTTCACTGCTGCGATGAAGTCTGAGTTCATCTGAAAGACTACTATATGCTAAAGAAAAGAAAGCTATTAGTGTGTATTAGAAAACCTGCCTCTACTGTTGTTTATGTTTGGAGAATGTCAGTTTGTGTTGCATTTATAATAATTTGTTATTTAATAATGATCTTATAAAATGCAACACGTGTATCTTCAAAGTGATTATAAAAAAAAATCAGTACCTAATTAGAAAGTGTTCATTACTAACAAAATAGTGTTCTCATGAAACAAATACAGGGTAGAGCAAAAATTGAAAGTCATGCATCCGTAAGTGAATCATGGAATACACCCACTGACTACCTTATTCCTTCCATAGAAATGCATATGCTAGACTT